ACTGAGAATTTGACTTTGTTTTAAAAAGCTGTTTGATATTTGTTTTGTATTTTGGAAGCTTATTCCAGTAAAATACCATGTGTTAAATTTTGGGAAGTAGCTTGAATACTAGAAATATGTACGTTTTTATGGAATCTGAGGTCTGAGTGCACTGTTGAGGGTCTTAGCCAGGGAAAAAGGAGGTTTATAAAACCTAAAAGAAAGAACTGACCAGGACCTTCCAAGCTCTGTTACTGTTCTATAAACAGGACTTCACCAGCACCAAATATAGTCTGATTCCCTGGGCTCAGTTTGCTTTTATAAACTTGTTTAGATGCTCTCTGTCTTCACTCAGCATGGGGTATAGCAGGAGGAATAAACAATTTATCGTCATGACTGTAAGCAGTGGACAGCAGTAAATGCTAATGTTCTGACAGGGACATTAGGTCCCAGCCAAGCTCAGAGACTTGTAAACAGAAATGAAACAAAATGGCATGCAGGCAATCAAATTAGACTGCATTAAGAACTTGGAATATTCTGCTTTTCTACAGTGTCCCTGCTGATCCAGGCTTGACAGTGTGAAGTGAGGAGGAGGAGTTCCTCCTTGAATAGTTGCATAATTGAGACACAGAACAAGCATATGTTATGTTCTGCTGACTGTGGGAACTTAGATGTGCTTTATAAAACGTGTTAATGACAAGAATGTTGTAGCTTCCAAGGCACCAGGCTGCTGGCATCATTTAGTCCTTAATTGGAGGTTTATATGAAATCTTTTTTTGAGTACTGAAACTTATGAATACAAAATAATGTGATAACCAAGACATACACTTGGTATTTAAGAGCACACGGAGTAACTAGTCTGACATGTCTGTATCATCTATTCCAGTGTTAATGCATGTTGTTGTATGTTTTTAGAATTGCAACTTTCCATTTTCTATGTGTCTGGACTTCTTGGTGTTATCAATTCAAGTTTGTACAGGTATAAATTTGTTCCCAAAGGTAATCTGGAAGGGAATTTTTCTTAACAAGTTGAGGTTATGTGTATTATTTTTATGAAGCAGAAAAACAACTTGAAAAGGTTAAAAGATATTCTGTTTTCATTAACCTTCAGAATATCAAGACTGTCAGTCCAGGTCTTCTGTGACTATGCTGAAGGACCGAGATATATACTGTTACCTCCTGAATCTTAAATGAAGCAGCATATGTGTTGAAACTTTAATAAATTCATCTTTTATCGAAAATGTTAGACACTGAAGTGAAGTGGGTGTTAGTAAAAACAAACAAAAGCAGAGTTTTGAGATTCTGGCTGAAAATCCCTTACTCTCTGTTATTGCATCTCTTTCAGCTTGCTTCTGCAGCATTGCCTTTCCAGTTGAGTCTCTAGTAGTAGCATGCCCTGGTTAGCCAAGACACAACTTCTCAATCTGAGATAAGCTGCAGAATGAGAAGCTGGTAAGCTGGTGTCTAAAGGCAATTGGTCTTCTCTCCACCCTGCCTTGCTTGGGCATCAGCTGCTATTTGTCTTAGGCATGAAAATAATAAACTCTAATCTGCTTTTGAAAGGTCATGGAGTTTTCATGCTGTTTAAAAAGAACTTGGTAGCAGTAGGGTACACAGGTAAGTAGCTGGTTCAAACTGTCAGTGAGGTCTCTTGTCTATGGGAGGTGGTAATGTTATTCCTGCAAACGTAGACCTTGTATCATAGAATCAGTCGTAGAATCAGAATGGTTAAGGTTGGAAGGGTCCTTCAAGATTATCTAGATCCAACCTCCCTGCCATGAGCAGGGACACCTCACACTAGACCAGGCTGCACAAGCCTCATCCAGCCTGGCCTTGAACACCTCCAGGGTTGAGGTGTCCATAACCTCCCTGGGCAATCTATTCCAGTGCCTTACTACCCTCATGGTGAAGAATTTCTTCCTAATGTCTAACCTAAATCTTTCAGTTTGACACCATTACCCCTATCCATGGGACTTGTTTTTAGCACTTGGTGGTTTCTTGTTGCAGTTTGAAATTGTGAGTGGTATTGTGCCAACTTATCAGACCATTTACTGTCAAGGAAGAAAGAGCTAGGAACTGTTTGAGCTGGTTTCAGGGGTCAGGCTTTCTGTTTTCCTTTAAAGAGCCACTGCTTCTCTCTGTGCAGGTAACAGTGGTTTGTGTTGTGGTTTGTGCAAAGGCTGTCAGTTTAGGAATTTTATCTTTGGGAAAAGGTGCAGGGCAAGGAGACTCCATTTGCTCTGTAGTTTTTCTGATCTGTATGCTGGTTTTGGAAATTTATAGTGTCTTCTGATATTGTATCTGTGATTCTGTGGAAAAAAAAATAAAATAATTTCTTCCCCAGTTGCTTTGGGGTGACCTATGCAGTCATTTCTAAATAATGCCATGGGTTTAACTGGCAGGTAGTCTGAGGGAAGGAGTGTTGTGGTGCTGTGGAGTTTTGTGGATAATTAATAATAATCCAGGCTGCAAATGACTTGAGTGTTGGCTTTCTTTGCTTCTTTCTGTTTAACTGAGCTAGGAACCTTTTGCAGGAAGGAGGTACTGAAGTTGCTATCCCATGTGTTAGTAGGTTGAGATTTTCAGGAATGAGATGCACATAAGTGTTTGTTTGACTTACACATTAATAGAAAATTGTTTTCTCTTTAATGTGAACTGTTCATTACTGAAGTTAAAGCTCAGTGCAGAGCTCTGTCAACTTCTTGCTCTTTTTCTTCAACCTTATTGCCATGTCCCTCTCTGCTTCTGCTCTCTCTGCCTCTTGTTTCTGTACCCTTTCTTCTGGTTGTCTCGCCTTCTCATCTCTCTTTCCTGCATGTATTTTCCTTTTGTTTTTGTTGCCAGCTTGGCTGCTTTTTTATCTATCTTCTCCTTTTCCCTTGGAACATATTCAGGTCTCTGTCAAAGCTGATCATTCAGCAATCCATGGATTTTTATCATAAAAAACAATCCTGAGATGGTAGTCCTGTGGTCAGGATCATGTAAGCCCTGGCTGGTGGATCCTGGCAGTCTTCTGATGCATCTGGGTACATCTTCATCTTGCCAGAACAGCTGGCTCAGATGCATTGTCCAAGTGGTGGCTTGTCACTCTTGCTGCTGTGGGCCAGAGAAGCAGCATGTGTGATGTCTCGGGCTGTAGTCTGTAGGTGCTAGGGGCTTAATTTTTTCTCACTTGTTAAGTTCAGTAAACAAGAAAAAAGTTTTTCTTTGTTATTCCTGTAGGGAATAGAGGATTAACCCTTTTATACTGTATGGAAACCACGTGTATTCAGCATTATACCAGTATAAGATGAGGTTATTTCTAAATCAACTCAGTAAAAAGACATCATTGAATTTGTCCATGCACATACTTGGTCAGACCTGGTTCGTTTAGGGACCAAAGCAAACATACATGGCTGTCTCATTTTCTCTCTGACTGCTTCTGTAAGACTCAGAAGGGAATGACTTACCTTTAAAGTGCTATTAAGTACTGGGGCTATCATTTAAACTTGAGCTACGGCTGTGCCTCTGCAGAGCACAATGTGTGTGAGAGCCTAGACTCCAACCTTGCAAGTCCTGAGATGTATATGAGGAACTGTATTGCTTTGTAAACATTTTAGGTCTGAGAAGGAAGGAACAACCTTGTTGTAGCTTTGATTCACCCTTAGTTCTGAGATAAGGTGAGAAGACTGAACATGGGTTTTCATTTTCCTTCCTCCCCTTTTTTTCTCCTTCTCTTGTAGTATTCCACATTTGTCCTCTTTCCCCCCCCATATAATCAAAGTGGCATCAGCTTCCCTCTGTAGTACATGTGCACAGAGACTAAAGCCTTGGGAAGTCAAGTGACTAACCAGAGACAGTCATTGATGAGCTGATCTTGTGACAAAGATTTTTTAATTTTTTTTCTTCGAGAACCATTTTTTTCGATTTTAGCTAAAAGTAAGAAATAACCCATCCTAACTTTGTTAATGAGGACAAGGGGAAGGGATATATTGAATCCTTTGAGCTAGCCCCTTCCTGGAAATATGTGCCTGACTGGTAGCTAGAGATGAGGCTGGTAGTCAGGACACACAAGCTTTTGCTTGTTCTCTGCCTGCATGTACAGATTTATGTATTGCCTGCTGCACTTACATATCAACACTCCTGTAAAATTCACTTTTCAAAGCATTTTTTTACACACTATCTTCAACAAAAACTTCAGAACCAGCTTTTCTAGGATTTGCAAGTTTGTGCATGTTCCTAAGCTGCTTTGAGAGTTGTAGGTAGTAGTTTGTTGCCTCTGTCATATTGAGTATGGCCTTGGGGTGACAACATGGATATTTATAACTTGGCTGTCTTGCCAACATGCGAGTTAGCTTTAATATGAATTTGTTGTTACTTGTAATTTAACATGGAGAGAACTGCTTACTGTTGTAGAATTAACTCAAGACTATCTGCATCCTTAAGATGCTATGAGAACTCTTTAAGTTTTTTTGCCAGTTTATACCTAAGTAAGAAGGTACTCTGCTATTTTACATGCAGACAGATAGTTTTTCACACTGTAATTATTAGTGTGGTGCTTTCATCACTGACTTACCTTTGTTCTGGAACGGAGGCAGAAGTAGAAGCGTGAAGCAGCTTGGGCCACTTGACTTGCACGGTTTAGCCTAGAATCAGATACTGCTCTTAACTGGACTGTGGTTTCTGGGACATTCTTTCTGTAATCCTCATAATGTGTGTACTAGAAAATAAAATGTTTGACTGCTTTTGATACATACTGTGTTGATATATATTTTGTTTACTTGTGTTAATAAATGCATCACTGCTTAATTATTCCTGAAGCTTATAGTGATACTAATCTTCAGTGTCTTATGAGCAAACTGGACAGTGAAACGTAAGGCCCAAAATAAGTGTAATGTTGTATTTGTAAAGAAAAAAAATCTCTTACATTTTCAAGCTCATCTCTGAGGCATTTTAAATACATGAAAAGTATGCTTGTGGTTTGTTTTTCTAAGCTTTATTTCTCCATTCCTATTCTTTGCTGCCATTTGTGTTACATGCAGGCAACTGGAGTTATTTCGGATGGGGAGAGCAGCTGAGTACGTAACAGTTTGATTTCTTGCAAATTTTCTGATCGTATAGTGATGCAGCATGCTCCAGTACAAGGGAAGTGGAAATATTCATGCATATAGAAAATCTCTTCCATTGTATATTCTTTTGGTGAATCTTCCTATTTGTGTGGATGGCTGTCCATTTTTTTAACTGTTTAAGTTTTGGTTTGGCCATGTTTTAAATAAGTTGCTTGTGCCATTTACTGGAATTTGAGGATAGAAAGGCATAATTTGTCTGTGTGTGTTTTCGTGTAAAGATACCATTTTTCTGTGTGTACCATTCTTTTGTGTTGGTCTTCATACCCATGTAACCTCAAGTCAGTGTTGCCGGTAACTGAGAAACACAAGGGAATCTGTAGTGAGTGCTTTACTAAAGTGGAAAGATATGCTGGAAGTGATCACAGAAATTCCAAATACTACAAATATGAGCAAATTTGAAAGCAGAAATGGCTGGTGAACACCAGAGTGACATAAGGGTTGTAGGTATTGTAGTATATTAGTACTGTGGTAGAAGTGGTAGGGCTTTTCTTTAACTAGTGCTTACCAGACTCAAAAAGGTAAACCTGAAGTCCTGCAGCTGTCTTACATGTGGACCTCATGACTGCAGCTGAAGACTGGTGTGTGAATTTTTACAGAGGCCACACAGCTAAATGTTTTTTGTGAATTTTTCCAGAAAATGTGCATGAAGCATCTTCGCTATCTGGAAGTGCCACAAGTTCCAACAAGCAAAGCTTCTGCTTAAGCTACAGTGCATGGCTTCTACTGCATGTAGGATGTACAAAGATTGATCCATCCATCTTAAAACAAATGTTTCTGTTCCCTTTGTCAAAAAAAATAGTGAGAGTGCGTTGCTGAGGGGGGAGGAGGGGCAGGCAAAGAAGGGTGACTGTAACCACTGCCAGCAGAGAGAAGGTTTTGCCTGAAGCTTTTCCAGTGGAATTTGGAGAGGACACTTAACTGCAAGCCAAGTTACTTAAGCCTAATACTTAGCTGATGTTACGGTACGTTTCACGTATGGACTTGTTCTGCATTTTGGAAGTCTTCCACTGGCGACTTCCCGATTTCTTCTCCCAGAGCATGGTTTTTCCTCCTTATTCTCCTGTGTTTGATCAGACCATAAGTTCTTTTGGTATCAACAGTGTTGACCAACATCTTCACACTGTCAGTTCTGGATGCCTCGATTGTTTTGGATTATTTTCAGAGGTGTGACAGGATAACTGAGAATTAACTAAAATTTGTGTACTGCTAAAACAAAGATTAGTGTCGTAAGTTGCTTTAATTTTTTTCCCCAATTTTGTATTGTTGGGAAGGAAATGGGGTGCTTAGACACTGGTCAGTCAGAGATTTGGGAGGGTTGTGCAGAGGGTGTTTCTCATGTTTATCTGGAGTGTTGGTGTGTGGTGTTTTTGTTTTAAAACGTGTTTGTATTCATGATGTTCCCTGTGTTCCTCTAGTTCATCCCTCCTGTGCTGTCCTCGAAATCTTGTTAGCATCCTTACAGGCAAGGTTGGGCCAGTGTTCATGACGTTTGCAAGCAAACTGTTAGCTTGATGATGTAAAGAAGAATACACTTTGAATTGTAAACTTAGAATAGCAACTGAGAAGGAAGCAGCAGCAACAGTATGATGGTAGCTAGAAGGCTTTCTCCCAGTGAGAGCTTCTTCCAAGAGGAGTGCTGAGCCTTCCCAGTGGGACAGAGGACACTAGGAAAGGATTGCCTTGAGCTGCTGACCTGGTTTCATTTTAGGAAGGGGAAACACTTACAGCAGTAGGGTAGACATTCAGGGCGGTCTTTTAATTTCTAACTGTCAGTCTAGTTCTTGACTTTTGAGTGTTTCAGCAGCAGAAAGTAGTTTTAAGTGGGAAAAACAAGGTTATGAAAGCTCTCAAACTAAGGACTGAATATTGCTTGCTTGCTGTCTTAAAATTATGAAATTTTGAATATTTTTAAGTGTTTAGGGCTGTAGGATGGACCAGTGACCTGTGAAGTTGCCCTTTAGTCATCGCTCAAAAGCATTTTAGCATGGAAAGCTATAGAAGAGCCTCAGAAAATGTCCTTCTATCCTTTTGAGATTTCTCCCCTCACTTGTTACTTCAATAGTCTTGCTTAAACTTGTATGCATTTTGGTTGTAAGATTTCAGAGAGTTTACCTGATAATCAGAAGTGACTGTGGTTTGATAGAAGGAGCAGTATTGGGGTCTGAGACTTAAGGAAGTGAGTTGTTGGCTACTATTGTGAAAAGGAATTTAAATGAATGAAGGATGAGAAAGGTGAGTTGCTAAGGCCCTGCTGTGGAGCTCACAGAGATCTTTTTTGGACTTGAACTGGAAGTCCTTCCTTCAGCTAGGACACTTCATTCTCTTCTACAGTTTTAAAAATAGTTTAAAGCTGTGAGAAGCTCATTAGCTTATTTTGCAGAAGCAGTGGGGGTTTTAGGATAGAGAACTTTGCATGAACCTCCCTCTTCCCCAGTGTTGTGCACCTACTGCTTCTACTCTAATTTTTATTCAAGTTTGTGGAGAATAATTAAGCTTAGGAACTGGACCTCAGCTCCTAATACCTGGTAACAACTTGCTGCTGGGAAATCAGGGGGCAATTTTAACTGAGTGTGATCTTTTGAGAAGAGCTCCTGCTGTGCTTTGGGACCTTAAAACAACAAAAACACTTCTGAACGTGCATTCGTCAAGCCACCTGTAATAATTTTGCTGTTAGCTTTCTTTCCCTTCCTGAAGCTTGATGTTACATGTGACTAGTGAAGCTGATGCGACAGGACTGTGCAACATGGCTTTGAGGTGGTACATTAAAAGCTGGATGTGTTCTGCCCTGCAGCAATTGTGTAATGACTTCTGGAAGAAGGAGTGGGGAAGAATAACGGGGTTTCTAGAAGGCATTTTGTTTCAGAGAAGCTATCTGTCTCCTTTATTGATTTTCCCCACACTTTGTAAAATCCTACTGTGTGATGTAACTGTCCAATAGGTTTTCTTTTTATGCTGCTTATATGCATGAATATTCAATTACTATACAATTAACAGCATGCTTCTGCCCTGTCCTTCAGCCTTACCCCCCACTCTCCACTCAGTGGGTCCCACAACATAGAAACAGTTTTCATCCCTTGGGAGCTCTTTGGTACATGTGAATTTTCTCAAACTGGGGTAAAATAATTACTTTCTTTTAATGTTTATTATTATGTATCTTGTCACTAATTAACTGATCTTCAGAGAATGAGGCTAAGCTACAACTTTCCTCGTGGAAGACTTGGTATATCATTTGTTTGAAGAAGATAGTTCTTGAATTTATCACACCATACTTATGTGAGGGATGTTTTGCTGAAACATTGATGTCTATTATTACATGGGCTGTAATGCCTGACCCCTCCTTCTGAAGGGATGCTGCATTCCCAAAGCTGCTTCCGTAAGTTCTTGTCAGTGTCTTGCTTAGGTAAAATTTGAAGTGTGTTAATTTCAAGTGTGTTAATGAAAGGGTTCATCACAATGCACAGGCATTTCACAGTATACTTTATTGCAAAGCTAATGTGCTAGAGGCCACGTATGGGCCAGGTTTTGGTGCTTTTAATCAGACTAAGCAATGTCTTCATTTGTGAATGCTTTTGTTAAACCAAATGAGATTGCTCATAGGGTAGATGCAGATCAGCATGAGTAAGAATTTCTGGAGTTGGCCCTCACTTATGAGTCAGTTGAGGATTTCTGCCTAGTATTAACATCTATGGATGCTGTAGGTGCCTGGCTCATACACTGGGGAAACAATGGGTTCCTGTCTCTTTGATGTTTATAGTAGCTGGAGCCTTGCTTCCTTTAAACATGTAATTGGGAAGGCATTTTATGTCATGATCTCTAAGAGACTTCCTCATGCTAAACACAAGTAAGAACTAGGAGATATTCTAGTGCCACCTTTTAGAAACACATATGCTGTAGATGCTTAACATTTTGATTAACATTTAACATTTAAACTACCCAGCTATTTTTAAGTGTTGCCTCAAGATACTGTGGTTCGTACGGAAAAATCTTTCTTTGATAGTGCAGAGGTGAGATGCTATGACTGGTTAACAAATCCAGGTAATTCTTCTGCAACAGTCTGATCAGGGCATTTGGAAATGTCTGAGCCCACTGGCTGTCCAGACTTGCTGACCCAAAGAAGCTGTGTGCTGCTTCCTCATAACCATAATTGTGTAGGTCTTCGCATACCCTGCTATTGTTTATTCCATTTCTAGTGAGTTACTACATTCCCTCTATTTTGACCCAGATAATTGTACTACTGATTTGTATTTATTATACTTTTGTGGTGAGATAAATTGTTTATCCATAAATCTGTTGGTCTGCTGTCTTTTACCAGATCCTGAACTTGCATCTCAGCTGGGCTGCCTTATGTCCCTACAAGCACTTAAAATGAGGATGCAGCCTCAGCTGGAAGAACTTTGCATTATACCTTATTTAGGCTTTACCTCAAATTAGAGTTATATCTGGTGGGAAGAAGTTAGTCAAGCAGCAAGTGAGGCATCAGCAAGGTCTTTGAAACAGTGTTTCTGTCCCAGTAAAAGTAATTGTCGTGCATTAGATGGTAATGGCTCGAGTGTTCAGCAGTGACATTGCTTGGCTGACTAATAGCTCATTATCCTTCGGAGGATGGTGCTGTGCCTTGTGATCTACAGACAGATCAGCCCTTGCTCCACAGACTGGAAGTCTGATGCTTCTCAGAAAGGTTTAGTACTTTGGCATATCATATAATTTTTAAGTAGCATGTCTTAAGTGTTTCTTCTAAGCACTGAACTGTAATAACATTGAAAGACATTGTGCTTTTAATAAAGCAGAATAAAGCAGTATACAATTGCTATTCATTTCTGTTCAATTGACTAGAGACTGACAAGAACTATGCAGCATTTAGACTACTAAAATGCAGGAGGCTGAACTCCATTTTAGGTGTGGACAACCAAATTGAATTGATTGCACTTAAAAGAGCAGAGCCAGGCTTTTTCAAGTGGTTTGTATTTTGCAGATCTGTTTTCAGCTGGGGTTGTTTCCTACTCTTCCATCACTTCTGTGCACTGATACAATCTTACTCAGTTGGAAGAGGACTGAAAATATCACTAAGAACAAACTTTACCCTAAATTGAAAAGATGGAAATTGAAGTGGAGGTGTGGGAAGCACCAATGGAAGAAAAGGGTGTTCCCTGATGCTGCTTTGCATCTCCTTGGAATTTCAGCAATTAAGTTGTTTTTTTAAAGATGTGGCATGAAAACAGCACTTTCACTCTTGTTCAGCCTCATGGTGAATGGCTGTGTAAGGCACATGCTATTGAATAAATTACCAGAGAGGGCTTTCATTTGATTGTCCTTTCCAGAATGATTTGGTGGCTGACAGAGTGAATAATGGCTGATCCTTATTTGCCTCTGTTTCACGCATGTTAACAGTGCACTCCCCTGCCATACGGTGTGTATATTTCACTTTAGGCTTTCAAAGATAGTCTTGCATCCTGCACAGCTGAGCACAAGCTGGACACTAATATTTTTATTTTTGAGACTTTGTGATAACTCTGTGTTCTCTTTTTCTGAAGAGTTAGCAAGCAGAAGTGTTTCTTTGGGGAGAGGGACTGACTGGAAAGGAGCTTTTTCCTTTGTGAAGGCTATCATTAGTCTTGTTCACTAAACTTAAGCTGATGGGCCTGTGCCTGTTAACTGTAGCAGTATTTCCCCTATAAGAAGAAGTGTAATTGTTTATAAGCAGAGCTGCCCTCCCAGTTTTTCTGATTTTCCTACTGAGTGCTTTTCATTGGTTTCTGCAACTAATACTTTTACCAAAAAGAAAAAAAAAGAAAGGCATGACAAAAAATTATCAAGAAGCCTAGACTACTTGTTAAGGATGCTGAGGAGATACTATTACAGGTTGAAAAGTCTCCAGGAAAGAGCTCCATTCCATAAAGGGATGTTTATGTTCTGGATTTATTTCCTTAGTATCTAAAGGTTCGTTAAGACAGCTGCACAGAACCTGAAATTTTGGATATTGGGTGGGGTTTTTTTTTGTTCTTTTGTTTTAAATAAAAATGTCTTAATCTGCTTATTAGGCATGACTAAAGAGAAATAAACTGCTACGGTAGGAAGTGGGAAAGGAGAGTGTGGAAGTGATGACTGGAATTCCTTGATACCTAGCGGAGAGAACTGGCGGTTATAACCAGCTACCAGATAGAGATACATCCATAGCAGAAATAGTGATTTTTGTCTTTCTTTAAAAAGTAAATGGGCCTCACTCTCCCAGCAAGGCATCGAGAGCTGTGTCCTTAACTGCTTTTGTTTCTCAGCTTTTGAAGATGCTGACAGTGCTGTGGATGACCGAGACAGTGACTATCGCAGTGAGACCAGTAACAGCCTCCCTCCTCCCTACCACACCACCGCGCAGCCCAACGCCTCGGTGCACCAGTTCACTGTGCCATCTCGCCTGCAGCAGCAAGGGGTCTCGAGGGAATCCTGTGCTGACTCCCTGAGAAATTATGATCTGGATTATCGAGAGCATGTGGCCATCAGGTGGGTGCTGTCTGCTGGGTAGCTTGTCTTTTCCCATTAGTTTTTTTCCAGCAGGGCTGGAAAGCGCCATGTCAGCAAAGGAGGGCTGGTGAAGGGCTTTCCAAGGCTGCTGACAGGAAGGTGTTACATGTTTTGTTAACTTTGAAACTCTGCTCTGAGCCAGGGAAATAAGACTATCTGTTACACTAGACCAAGAAATTTTTTTTCAAGACATGCACAACTCTGAGGTAATTTATTCTTGCTTTTACTTTCTCCTTACCTTTGAAAGGCCAAAGCTGGTAACTGGTTGTTCTAGCACCATTGCATGGATGTGCCCCCCCAAGCCAGTGAGATGAGGTCTTGCAGAATTACCCTATTTGTTTATTGAGACACATTTATTTTCTGTTTTAGATTAGTTCCTGTGTTTCTGTTAGCTCTGACAAAGCAGAGTATTCAAGAAGAAAGTCTGTAATCAATTAGGTTTGTTGCTTTGGTTTTTTTTTGTTATCAGGTAGCATTGTTGAAAAACATGTTTTCTGTTTTGGTTTCCTTTGGGTAGTTCACTTGCTCTAAATTAGCTTTTTGACCATAAGTCAGTAGTTTCACAGCTGCTTTATATTTTTTTAAATATTAAGCAGTAACTTACCAGGTTTGGTGGCTGTGGACTACACCTTCTTGCATTGGGAAGTGTGAAAACTTTACAAAACCACTGTTCAAAAAAAAGATGAGTCAACTGTAAGGGGAAAACAGAAGAACTTGGACAATTCTGGTCATCTTGGTAGAAGTGAATGTATAGAACAGGCCATGCTGCTGCTTCTGCCACTGGGGTGGCAAAAAAAAATGCATTTACTGCAGTGTGACATGTAATTCTTAGTACTGTTTTCCTAGTCCACTGAATGTCTCATCAAAGCAAGTTATTCTCTTTCCCATTCTATTCTGTACTGCTGATTTGCAGGGGTAAAGCTCCTGAAGACCTTAATGAGGGTCTGGGAAGATAAGCTTGAAGCTTTTTTTTTTTTTTTTTAATGGAAGAGCCAAGCTGAACAGCAGTATTGGTCCCCCAGGCTGAAGAAGCCAGTGATGGCTGGTATTTTTGCTGTTTTGTGCCTTCTTGGGGTGGTGTTGACAATACCAGGATACATGGCTCACCTTGCTTGGAAGCAAGTGAGTTCTAACTGTAACTAATGGATAAATGCTCCTTCCAAAAGAGCACTTCTGGTTTGAATTGCTGAAGAATATAAAGATGGAATATGTATTTATTTTTTTCTGGTTTCCTGAAGGTATTGATGTGAAAGGATCTAGTCTAATAGAGTTGACTTAAAAATTAAGAACTTGTCTGCTTTGTATTAATATTACTTTCACCCCAGGAAGGCAAGTCCTAGATGGTGATTGATTCCCTTGACCATTCCTGTTCCACTGTGTATTTTCCACATGCTCAGCAAGATTATTTTTTTTTGCAATGTATTTAATCTTAAAACTTAGAAGATACAAATAAACTTCCCAAATAACCTACATAGGATTATCTTTCTTACCAGAAAGGTATATTAGGAATGAGAGCTGGTTGAGAAGAAACACATGGGTGTATCTTGTATAGGTCCAAACACAGTTGTATCTGAGTCTGGAAAAAACAAATTGTGTTTGACTTTTTCTCCTAGAAGCTCTAAGTTCTGTGGACCCTGCAGCCACCTATGAAATCAGTGTTCCTGGCAGACTGCATCTGGTGATTGCAGAGGAAATGACAGCTTGTAGGAGGCTGTCCTGGGCAGACCCAGGGTTATGCCAGAACCTGCCTTGAATTGGCCAAAATGCTTCAGTAGAAACTGGCTGTACTAACACCTGTTGTTTTTTTTCTGACAACCTTTAGGTTTGTCTGGAAAAATTCTGATTCTCTTTATCAGCTGCTACATGTGATTGTGTTCCTTTGATAGAAGTGCATGTATTTTATTCTCCCCTCCCCCCAAGGGTAATGAGTGTTGCTCTTACTTGTCCTTGAAGTGTGTTTTGCTGCCAACAGCCAGTTTGACCAGAATAGCACATCTTCCCCTCATATTATTTTTTTTAAGCACTAACTTTTCTTTGGAATGTTCATTGTGTGTAACCATGTGTCCTCCATGTCTCCCTGCTCTTGCTCTATTTACTTCCAAGGCGATATGGTAGCATAGATTCCACTGTGAGTGGCCCAACTGACCTAGAGTCCACATCTGAGTCTAGTCAAATGACAAGTCGCCAGTGCTCGATAGAGAGCAGGCGCTCTCTAGATCTGTCTGATAGGTGGGTTAACCTCTTTGCAGCCTGTGTGCTTGTCTTCTTGCTGTTGCTGCTGCTGTGAAGTGGTCTTGTGATGCATTTCAGCTGATACTTGCTGTTTGCCTTGGCTCTGTTTCAGATCGGTGTTAGTTTAATGCTGGGCTGATGTCATAATCTTTTTCTCCTCTCAGGTGTTGGACTTCTTGTCATTGCTTTGTTTCAAATAAAAGGAATGCTTTGTAGAAAAGCAGGGGAAACACTTATGGCAGAGAGGAGCTCTATTAGAAAGAGAAGTAATTTCCTTTATGCCTAAATGAGACAATTGTTGGTTCAGCATTTACAGCTAATGGCTCTTCAGGCATTCATATAGCTCTCCTTGCTTTCAGCTGAGATTTGGAAGGGTCTGATCCAGTAACTATGATGGCCCTGGGAGTGTTTTAAATTTAATTATATTTTTAAAGAAAACTATTTCAAATGCCAGCTTAAAGTTGTGAGCAAGAAGTGTAGTAAGTGCTCTAAACAGTGTACAGCAGTGCTCATTTAAAATAATGAGTATCTTTCCAATTAGTGTGAGTTAGCCAGCACTCGTGGAAGTGAAGCACTAAACTGACAGCAGTGAAAATGTGATTATCTATTTCAGGGCTATCCCATCAATATATATTGGACTGCCCCAGGCAACTCTCAAGGTGAAGACTCTTGTATTAGCAGTATGCATTCAATGCCCATGTGCCCTTTGCTCTTCTCCCTCCCTTGCCCTGCTTTTATGGGGTCAGGGCATGTGTGCCCTTGTGCCCTTCAGCTTTCATGTGAGACAAAGCTGCAGTGCATCTTTCAGATGAGCACCTTTATTTTTTCAAATCCATTTTCTACATGTTATTTTTATTTAGGCTGGCAAGAATTCTTGTGAGATTGTGCTCCTGGATAGATTCTAATTGGATGCAAGAGGTAAATTTTTCACCATGAGGACAGTCAAATGTTGGAATAGTCTCCCAGGGAAAGTGGTAGATTGCCCACACTGCCCAGCTTTAAGTCCCAACTTGACAGGGTGCTGAGCCACCTCATATAAACTGTAGTAGTACCTAGAAAGGTTGGACCAGATGATCCTGGAGGTCCCTCCCAACCTGGCATTCTGTGATTCTATGATAGAGACACAGGAAGCTTTCTTGCTACTAGCCCTTGGGGTTGTAGCTGAGATAAACTTTCTGATCAAGGGCTAGGAATCAATCCCCAAATCCCAGGGGTGATTTCCTTGGTTTTCTAGAAAACTTGTTTGATAGCTAACATTATTCCACAATGGACAAGTACAGATTGCTGGATCCGCTTAGATGCGTTATAAATGGGAAGTGGAGATCCTGAGAAGCATCTGCGGCTTAAGGTGGGCTCATCTCCATCACTGAAGTTTAGTTTTGACTTCTGATCCAGTCATGGCTTAGAGGATCTTAATTTTGTGTTGGTAGGAGCCCCCTGAGGGCATTAGCTACAGTGAGAGCTCCCTCAGCAGAAAAGAGTGGTGGAGTAGCTGGAACTCCTTGTGTTGCTGGTGTGCACAGTTTGTGTTTTGTCCCCTCTTCCCACTTCCCTGGAGTCCAATGACTCCTGCATCTTTGCAGGCACTCTCTGCTCTGTAGCCACCCTTGGGAGAAACCAAGGGCCTGTGTGCTTTATGAATACTGCTAAAACAAAGTCTGCAGCCTGGAGTGATCGAAATGCATGCATATCCTAGTGGAATGGTGTGTGTGGGCACTATATCTCAAAGTAGTTCTGTTACTGCAATAAGTGACTTTTTCAGCATGCCTAAAAAAGTAACGGCAGAGTACTGGTACAGCCAAGGCTGTGTGCCCTCATTTGATCATAAAAAGCTGTTCTTCAACCAGGCATTTCTAAATTTTGTGCTACTGTAACTGGTGGAATATCAGAATCCATGCTTCTTTTTTTGACTATTTGATTGAAATGTAATGGTGGTAGATTGACATGTTTTCGTTTTTGTTATATCTGGATGCTTCTGATTTTAATTTTCCTTTATTTAATGCATGTTTTTTCATTACTATTTTTTCCGTCCTTTCTAGAGCTTTTAAAAAAAGTGTTATTTTCCCCTTCCTATTCTTTTTTCTGCCTCTTCCTTTCTCTCCCACCCCCTTTATTTCTCATCTTAGACAAGGATCTCTAGCTAGAAATGAAGGAGTCAGGATCATTCCATGTAACTCTGAAGATGGAGAAGAAGAACAGGAGAGTAACTATGAAGAGCTAGGAAAACTGCTCATAGAGGAATTCTTAGAAAAGAGTCATAAAAATAGAAGTTGGCAGGAAACAAAAACAAAAAAGATGCAAAATCTCTCAAAAAGAGAACATTTCAATCACTGTGAAAGGTCAAGGTGCTGCAAAAACGTGTGTGTGGAGTCAGGGTCAGTAGATGTCCCTAGGTATCCTCAGGAATATGATACAATAGATAGGAGAAGGAAAAAGAAGCTGCGGTACAATTTTGAAGACCGTGAACAAATAAGCCTGCAAAGTAATGAAGGCCCACAGTTTCCTGGGGAGAAGATGGTTTATTTCAATGGTGTGGCAACTAGTGCTGAACCTAGTGATGATTTCCCAGTATATGATAGAATTGGAAAATATACCAGTAGCTCTGAAAATAAGGAACAGTTACCTGCTTATCCCATCCTGCGGCCATACAAAAATGGCTTAATGGTTAAAAGAGGCAAGTTGCCCCCCAAGCAGGGAGTGAACCATGAGGGCTCACTTCACCTCAGTAACAGTGAAGACATGAAACT